CATGGGGGACAGTGTCAAAGGCTTTGTGCAGTAACAGAATGGCTGAATTTAAAGGCATTTTTTTTGTTTTGCTTACTTAGCAAGTATTCAAAAGTATCTCCAGTGGCTTTACCCACACAGCTGAGCTTGAATGCCAGACCCCTGATCATGAACAGTGCTACACTGGTAGCTTGTTCTTTGGCTTTTTCAGTCCCTTTAAACTTAGTTGCTCTGAGACTAATATCCGGTCACAATTTCAAGGACAGCTTGTTCCAGGGTCTTTCCCAACAGGGACTTTGAGGAAGAGTGCTGCAGGCTTGGCTTCCTCTGTGCTCTTCAGCCCTCTGATATTCTCCCATCAGCTTCTGTACTGTTAGGCATTCCCTGTTGTCCTCTGTTGTGCCCCTGGTAATGCGACAAACATCAGTCTCATACTTTAAAAACACCCTCACTGGCCATAATCTGTGTTTTGTTTTGTAGTTTTTTTTTTTTTATTATTATTATTATTTTTATTATTTTATTTTTTTGAAGTCTTCAACCAAAATAACACATAAAAATGTGTAGCTGTGCCTTAGTATAGTGTGAGGCCAAGAGCTGTGTGGTGTAGATATAGCCAGTCTTCTGTAGATGGAGGTAGCCCTGAGTAGTGCAGGTGCTAGGCAGTTTGAAGGCTCCCATTTTTATTTAGCAGTATAGCTGTACCTGTTGAGTCCATTCTCAGTAGATGTAGAGACCATTCATCTAAAGGGTGTACAACTAAGTGGAGTGGGAACAGGCAAAAAGCAGGTTTAATGGGGTACTGGGAATGCTGTAGGTCTCCCGTTCTCACAGTTCCTCCTAGTAGTGTGCACTGTATCTGCTCCCTGTCGTATGTTTAGGGGTTGCACAGTTCTAGGTCCCTTGTGTCCTTCCTCTATGTCCGGACTGCATCTAGCTTTGAACGGTCTATAAGAGCAACTCCTTATTCTTTATTAGCATATTCTGTTACAGTTCAAATTTATTCACTCTCCCTAGAAATAAATTCAGTTTTTTTAATTGAATTAACACTTTACATTCCTATTTTTGTCCTGCAGGTCATTATGGCGTTACAGAGAGTGGACAATATAGTAGGGATGCTGATGGATGGCCTCAAGCAAATGAACCTGCATAAATGCCTGAACATTATTTTTATATCAGATCATGGTAAATTCAATTTCATAAAATATATCAGAACTTTGGAGAGATGTTTTTATAATGCAATATACTGTTTATACTCACATGTGTCTTGCAAGGTTAACAAAGCAGCTAAGACATTGAAATTACATTTTATATTATCAAGATGGTGTAAGAGATAATCAGTGTAGGTGAGAATCAATCTGTTTTATGGGGAGAAGAACTGGAGAACATTAAATAATTCCCATCTTTTATTCCTAATTCCTCTGCTGATCGCTAGCAGCCAATAAAAGAAATGGAATTTAAACTGTGAACTGTAAAAAGATGTATTTCATTTTTTCTGTCTTTTAGTACTGTGCAGCAATAGTTTGCAAATTGCTGAAGAAATGAAAATATAAGCCAGATCTCCCTTTCAGTTATCGATCTTGTTATCCATTATTAGAAGGATGATTTATTTCTGTAATAGTTTTTCTGTATTTCTGGAACTATTTCTAAAATAAATTTATTTAGTTACCAATAATTAATAATAATAATAATTAATTATTTACCAATAATTTTTTTTGTTGTTGTTTCTTCTCTTGACTAACAAAATGTAAGCACAGTCCAATGCAGCACAAAATTGACTTGCAGAACGTATTGTGCTCTCCTTGGATCAGGTGTCTTGGGGCTGCTGACAAAAAGACCTGAGAAATCACATTTCTGACTTCTACAGCATAAGTTACATGTCTCCTCAGCAAGATTACTCTACACTGCTATTCCCATTTTTAAAGAAAATTTCCTTCCTTTGCAGGGATGGAAGCGGGGAGCTGCAGAAAAACAGCATATCTGAACAACTATCTGGATGATGTTCAAGATTTCATAGTAGTACCTGGTCCTGCAGCTCGCCTAAGACCTAATAATGTTCCAGATGAGTATTTCTCTTGTATGTAATTGCTAAACTAATTTTTGTTATACAGTTATATGCTTTTGTACTTTATGAATACAAGCTTAGGATCTACATTTTCCACTGGTAAACCTGAGTGAAGGTCAACTAGGTACAACATGGATAAGGAGAGGAAAATGGATAATGGAGATTAATGAATGATAACAATGGATATTATCAATGATATTATTAGTTATTATAACATTATATTTTTTATATATCCAGATGTTATTGATGGATAATAAGAGGGAATACTGAATAGTGTACCTGTGTTTTTAAAGACCACTTGACATTACGGGTCTGGAAGCGTATGTGAACCCTAGCCTTTTGAAGGCCATGTCAGAGTGACCAGCTGCAAATGTTCTTGTCTTGTGAATGGCATCCCTTTGAATCAGATCTTTGGTGCTCAAGACAGACCAAATAATCCCCCTCTCATGTCTTGCCTCACTTCTTGGTTTGCCAGTTTATGTATAAATTTGCTATATTTTTGTCTTGAAGGGTTGTTACTATCTTTTACATATTATTTTGAGTATTATATTTCCTAGTTATAACTAAGTGCCTTAATGGCCTGACAGCAGTTGAATAAGTAACAAATAAACATGAATAAGATAGTGAACCTTAGTAAAAATAAGTGTTTACAAATTTTAAACTTTGATTCATTATGAAGTCTCATTTTAGGTGACCATCCAACACCTGCAGTTTCTGTTACTTTTAATGTTGAATGTAGACGTTTCCTTCATGTTTTATATATCTTTATCTAGATTATTGTTCTCCATGCCCTTTAAAACTTTTAGGCCTTGACCTCAGTGACTTGAAGTTCTGTTTACTTCATTGCTTGATGCTATTCTAAACTCTTTTAAATGTTTCCTTGGAAAATGTGGGAGTTAAATGCAGTTACCGGTTCTCCCTAGAGAAACAGGCTCAGGAGGAAGAAAAGCAGAGTATCTCCTGCTTTTGACACATGCATTGTTCTCATGAAATAGCATAGCTGTCTTTGTAGCACTGCATGTATCTATGCAGGAATTATTAATGGTTCTCTTGCTAGTGTGATCCTTTAGGTACTTTAGTCAAACATTGGATATCAGACTTGGGACAGAGGAACTGTGTGAAATGTAATGGGCCTGTGTTCTACAAAATGTCAAACTAAATGATGTAATGGTACCCTTTGGCTTGAGTCTAAGCATCTGAATCTTAGCCAGATTTCACTTGGCTGTTTTTCTGAGGATGCCTGCCAGATAAAACTGCTGTCCTGACAGTTGTATTTGTTTCTTTTTCCTTAGAAGTTTAATAGCAATCAGGAAAAATCCAGCTCAATTAGCACAGCATTTAGTTGCTTCTTTTGTGAAAACTTACTTCTTGGATTCTGACTGTGGCTAATATAATTAAAATTTTAAAGCTGTAAATAAATAAGCAAGAGGAGGAGAGACTGAACTAAAATTTCATAAAAGCAATAGCTTGACAGTTTAGTGATTGTTCTCTTCCTTATGGTTTTCATTATGGAAAAAATACTTCTTATGCCCAGATTTTTTTTTTAAACTAAGCTAATTATATTATGTGATGAGAATGGTTTCATTTTACATTGATTTTTTTTAACTTAGGTGACTAATTCTTACATATGATTCTTCCAGTTAATTATGAAAGCATTGTCAGAAACCTCACAGTAAGTGTTGTCTTATCTATTGTTCTAGCTTAATTTCTACTGACATTTACAGGTATTTTATAGCATCAACTGTTTGCTGGGCTACTTACATAGCAGGTAGACTTTGAATTAGTGAACTTTCATATGCTATATAGTTAACAACACCACTGACTGTAGCTCCATGCAGGGGTAGGGAAGGTCAATGTTGAGTCAGGTGTAACAGGGCTATCTGTGGTTGTGCATTAACTAAAGTTTTGTGTTCATTTCTTTTCTCTGATTGTATCATGTTGCTCTTTAAACTGGTGATCTTGTGTATCTGGATCATAGTGGCTAAGAGCAAAGTCATTGCAAACTTCAGTTCCATTTCCCGGACAAGCATAAGATTTTCTCGCTCATGTCTTTTTTGATAAACAACTTTGAGAGAGGATATTGAATTTTTAATTTATTTTTTTTTCTGTCAGTTCCAGGTTAATGTATTTGTTCTGCTTTTTTCCTGGCTTCTGTTCTCATCCCTGCACCACAATGTTTGCCCCTCAGTCGTGCAGGCACTAGTGTTGATGAGAACTATGCTGTTTGTATCGATGACTTCACTATTCAAAAATTCCAATATTCCAGTATTCCAATTCCAAAGTAGAGGGTTTTTTTTGTTTGTTTGTTGGGTTTTGTTATTTTTTAAATCATTAATGGATTGTAACACATGGGAAAAATTTGCCCCTGAGTGACCAATCTAAAAACCCTTTGAATGTCTCTTTCTGTATTATAGAGCTGTAGAATTATTTCCCTGCACAGTATCCTACCACCTGTGAAAGTATCGTGTTGGTCATGTTTCACTGTAATTCTGTATTAATTCTATGCATTACTGTTTGATTCTGAGAATGTAATTCTGATAGAATTGTAGACTGTAAGGAAAAAAGTTAGGTCCATAATCAAATATAAATTTTATTCTAATAACTATGGAAAGCAAAACTAGTCAGTATTTGTTATTTACATAGTTCGTAGACCATATGACTTCAAACCTGATGGAGTCCTGTTGTCCTTAGTGGAAGTTACTGCAGACCCACTGCAACTGAAGTGCTTTATAAGAACTGTGTATGACATAAGCAAAAGTTTGGTGAAATGTACATTTTATGTTTCAACTTAAACGTTTCAGTGCATAGAACCAAATCAGCCTTTCAAAGCTTATATGAAACAGCTGCTGCCCAAGCGTTTCCATTATTCCTATAATGACCGGATTGAACCATTGCACTTTTATTTAGACACCCAATGGCAGCTTGCTAGGTAAGTTAGTTTTCAGTGCTTTGTTATATAGCAATTAATTTCTTGTTTTCTCATACGTTTCCAAGATGCTTAGAGTTCAATGATAGCAATTGGACCATGGTATTACAGCTTGTCATAGGAAATGGACATTGCAAAGAAATAATGCACGCTTTTCTCCAGTTTTTGCTGGCCTGAGGAGGCTCAATTGTAAACTAACAGCTATAATTTCCCTGTTGACCACACAGGTAGTGGCAGGCTTGGTGACACAAATGTTAGAAACTAAGCTCCCCTTTGGCAGATGCTTGAGCACATCTTGCCATGCTTTAGAGATTTCCAAAGTGAGCCATGAAAGCTAAGCATGTGCATAGCTACTCGGTTGAATCAGTCTTGTGAGCATTTCACTGGTGTACACTAAATTTACTGGGCTCTCTTATTGTTAAATAACTTACATGTTCTGACCAATGAATTTACAACTCCCAGAGTAATGCCATCTGCTATAATGAAATAATTTTTAACAACTCTGTGTTACTCCAGCACTGTCATCATAGAAGAGTTTTTCAGTCTATGTATTCAGTAAGCCCTTTTGTGTAACACCAGAAATGTGTGCAAGTCATGCAAATCAGGTTTGGATTACTAGACCTGTACGCATTTAAATAATATGTATGGACCCAGCATATTTTGGAGATTTGGTTTTATTAGAATGTAGGATGCTCATCTGAATTCTTTAAATTACACTAGAGTTGTTATTTAAAAAAAAAAAATCTTAAGAAACTACTTATCTGTGGTACTGTAAATTTTTGTGAAAATCTGTTATCCTGAGAACAAACACTTTTTTCATATGCCATCTGGTATTTGACTTTAAATGACTGTGATAGTCCCTTGAGAATTCTAAAGGGATAACATTTGCAGAGAAAAGTATCATTCTGATTTTAAAGGCATTCTCTTTCAGATTTTAAAGTCTTTCTATTCCCTATGGACAAGCCTCTAAAAATTTTTGAGTAAAAAAGTAAACAATGAATTGTTGAATGCATTTTCTACTGATATGATTTGTAAAGTGTGGGTTATATAAACTGTGAATTTTTAATAGGAAACCACTTGAGGTTAAGAGGTGCACAGGTGGATTCCATGGCTCGGACAATCGCTTCCCCAGTATGCAGGTTAGATTTAAACTCACACTAGCTCTTATTTTTAGCTCCTTCTGTTTCTGAATGTTGTAATGTTGTGTTTACTGGATGTTGAATGTTTGGGCTTTTTTTTTTTTTTTTTTAATCTGTGGCACTATTCCATCTGCAATTAAGGAAATCAAGCATTTTAGGACTGCTCTTGTGACATGCTGGGTAACTGCCACAGAGTGTGATTTGGTTGTTCTAAGAGTTGGGCAAAAACTCAACAGGACTTACCCCAGTCTTGCTGGGAAGAAAATGTAGTTGTGCCAAGTTGTTTTGTTGTAATATTAAATGCAGAAAAAGAGAGAACTTGTTTCTTCAACTCCTCACAGTAATTTTAGATCATAAGAGAATTCATACTGGAAGGAACCTCAGGAGGTCTTCAGTCCCACCTCCAACTCAGAGCAGAGTCAGCTGCAAGGTCAAACCAGATTACTTAAGGCTTTATGTAGTCACAACTTCAAAACTGCTAAAGGCAGAAGCTCCACAACTAACTACCCCATTCCACTGCCTGAATGTCCTGGCGTAAATGTGTTTAGATATAGCCAACCAGAACTTTTCTTGTTTCAGTTTATGCCTGTTGTCTCTCTGCCTCCTACTGTGTAGCACTGAAGAGCATGTCTCTATCTCCTTGATGACTTCACTGTAGGTACTGGGGAGCTGCTATGGGGTCCACCTGAAACAGGCCTCTTCTCCATGCTGAAAAAGCTCTGTTCCCCTTCAGAAGGCAAGAGCTTCAGCCTTCAACCACCTTGGGTGCCCTCCTCTGAATTTTTGATGTTTGTTAATTGATGTCATTCTTACAGTGGAGGTGCAGTATCCCAATGTGGCCTAAAGAAATGCTGAGTAGAGAGGGAAAACCCTTCCATCGACCTGCTGGCTGAGCTGCTGTTTATACAGCATGAGATATTGTTGACCTTCTTTGCTGCCAGGGTGTACTGCTGGCTCATGTTTGGCTTGCTGTCCACTGTGTCACCCAGGCCCTTGTAAAGTTTTTCTCTGGCCAGCCAGTCATCCTGTCTGTAAGGCTAGTCCATTCTTTGTTTTCTGGGTTGCCTAAGAGAAGAAGTAACAGGCTTACACTGCAGTAAAGAAGAGCTGAATTGGCTATTAGAACATTTTTTTTTTAAACACTGACTACAACAGTCTGCCTGGGGAACTTTCAGCACAGGAATACGTGCACAACAACTGTCTTTCAGGAAATAATCTAACTGCTTTTCATAGACTCATAAAATGGTTTGAGTTGGAAGGGACCTTTAAGATCATCTAGTTCTAGCTCCCCTGCCATGGGCAGGGACACCTCCCACTTGATTCTGTCTTTTGCAAAAGCTGAGTAAATGATATTCCAGCTCTGTAATTCTACTGTGTCATGATAGATTATGTATCTCTGTTTTGAGGTAGTCTGTTCAGGAAAGAGCATGTCACTCATGCTTAAAATAAGGAGAATTCAGAAATTCTTCTCTTTAATGAGAAATAGGAAGGGATCACAGGGAAACATCAAACCAGACCCTTAGCTCCATCTAATTCGGGGAAGTCACTTAACCTATCCTCTGCTTTAGTTTCTGCTATCAATAAAATGAAAGGCAATATTCTTCATTTCAAAAAGCTATTTTCTGGATAAAATCTGCTAACAGTTGTGAGGTTCTTGGTACTATTACAGTGAATATATGCAAACACATCTATAGAGAAAGAACCTTGCATTAAAAAATTATTGAAGAGAAGTTTTATGAAAAACTTATATAGTCTACATAAAACATACATTTCTCTTAAAAATACTTTTTGTGTGTTGTAGAATTATGTAACACTGGCATCAAAGTATTTCTTAAAACCTGTTAGCCAAAACTTGTGTTAATTTGATATCAGTTTACCCTTCTAGGCCTACTCTTCTTCCCTGATTCGACAATGGGAAACCTGTTGGTAGGGTACCTAGTAATGGGCTACAGGCATCAAAGCCACATGATGCCAAATGACAGCTTAGTATATTCTCTCTCTGCCGCAGTTTGACTGTGTAAGTTTTTTTTAGTAGGTTGACTCTATTCAAACTTTTTGCCAGACTTGGGATTGTCAGTTCTTAGCATCCCTAATTGGCCTCAAAACAGATACAATTTATCCTTTTGTGGCTAACATATTGTAGCAGCATAAATTTCATACTTTGTAATTACCTCATCCAACAGAAAGGAGGTAGCATGTTCGTGCCTCATCTGGTTCAAATTAGGCTTGTTTAATAAGCGATTACCCTGCAGATTTTAGTATCAACAGCTGCAAAATGACAGCTTGCATTATGCTTTAATCTTAAAAAAAAAAGTAGTTAGCACTGAGTTTTTAACCTTTATTTTTGCCACCCAGCTATGAAACCTGAGACCATTGTATTGCTTGCAAAGAGCTTTGAGTTCTTACCCAGGAAGGTGCTATACAGTGCAAAGCATCCATCACTTATTCAGTATCTTGATACCACAGATGGGTGCAGTCTCTTTTACTTAATTTAAAATAAGCTGAATATCTCAAGATAGATAAGTTTAGAAACAGTATTTCTGGCAGCAGTTGAGTTTAAGCATTTGCTGCCTTTGCCTCCTTGCTCTTATTCCTGCAGCAAACCTTGCTCTCTGGTAGTGTGAGCTTTGTGTGCCTGCAGTGTTAAGTAGGTCAGGGAACTGGACCAGAAGGAGGGGAGCCATCAGGAAAAAAGAAAGTTTTCTGAGCTGGCTGCATTCCTGGATCAGGTTCTCTGTACGGCTACACAATAGCTTGTGCCAGTACAGCTCAGGAAGTGGTGCAAGGAGAAGAAAGAGCAGCGGCAAACCAGGCGTAGAAGTGTAGGATCTTGCCATTGCTTAAACCATTTAAGACATTGCTACGAAAGGACAGTTTTATAGCCTTCAGCTAAAAGCTTCCAAATTGCTTACAGAGCATGGAATGTGATGGTTATTCTAGGTCATTGTTTCCATTAAAACTCTAAAAGCATCTAAGAAAATGAATTCAACTTCTTCAAAAACAGAGAAGAGCGAAGGATTTCATAAATGGCTGAAGGCAACTTTTTAAAGGCAACAGTGAGACAGAATTTGGTTTCCTAATACTCTTTTACTACTTTCAAAACTATTCTTATGTGTTCACTTTTTTAAAACAAAACCCATGCTTTTTATTTGATGTTTACGTTGGTAAAGATTGAACTCTTGTGAAGAAATGCACTCTGAGAATGAAGATATTTTCCATTTCAACTTGTCTTAAATAGAGTTCCACTTTACTTTTCTCTGTAAACCCTAGGCTATCTTTATTGGGTTTGGACCAGGATTCAAGTCTCATACTCAAGTTGATCCATTTGAAAACATTGAAGTATATAATTTAATGTGTGGTAAGTACAATTGCTGGGGTTTGCCTTTTTTAAGTAAAATATAGTATATTTTGGGCATTGAAAATCTAATAACAGAAGTTTGAACAATTCCTTGTGTTTTGTCATGTGCTTTCTTATTTGTTGTTTTCTTTTAACATATTTTTAATTCTAGTTAGTTGGTATAAATAGGTTTCTAATTCAGATACAATTTAGATTTTGGTTTTGTTTACTTGATTCATATAAAAAACCTTTCTCCCAAATTCATTGTTGCAGAATTATAGAATGGTCAAGATTGGAAGGGACCAGGTCTAGATTTCCTCCATCCTGTATAGAAAGAAAAATAGGATGTATGAAAGCCAGTATGTTAAATTCCAAATAGAAAATGAAATGAGATGATTTACTCAACCTTTTCCTTCCCCAGGGCTTGAGTGCCTTGTGGACTTCAGAAGAGCATCTTCTTCCACTTGTAGCTCAGGGGTTTAGCATTTCTCTTGGAGATGCCTGACTGCACCTTCTTGCAAAGTGCAGGCAGAAAAGATACTGTCTCCCATTTGCCCAACATTTCAGCACTCAGAGCATGAGCACCAGATATCTACAACTAACTGTCTTGTCTGAATTGGGGAATTCCAACTTACGTTTTCCAAGGCGTTCAAACTGCCAGACTTGAGGATTTCTGGTGTGTTGTGAATTTGTGGATACTGCACTTAAAATAATACAAACAACAATGTAATTTAGCTGTTGAAGTGGCAATGTGAGTTCTGGGACTGGTTCTGATATGGTTTTTTCTCTGCTTTGAGTGATGTATTAATTGGAGCAGGGACTGCTAGGATTAGAAAGGTTGTTTTAATCTACTTTTCAAAGTAAAACAGCCTCATTTGGACGGATTGACGTTAACATATCTGAGTGGCACAGTGCAAGGAGAATAGTATTTCCCCCATATAGGAAGGGAAGTTGAGCTGTGACTCCTGTGCCGTAGGTGAGTGATCTAGACACCGAGCTTTTGGATACAAGTGCATCTCATCACCTCCTTTGTTTTGAAAACATCTTATTTCATAGATCCAGTATGAAGATCCAGTATGAGTGAAGTGGCGGAACAACCAATCTATGAGTGTTAGTGAGGATTAAGCAGGAAATAGGGCTTCATCTCTTCAGTATTTTGAAGATGTCTGAAGCCTCTCTGGGCATCGGTGGTAGGCAGCTCTTAGTTGTTTGAGTTACTTTAATGGCAAAGATTTAGGTGTTTGTGGTGTAGAGATGTTTCTGTGGTTGGCATACTTTGGTGAGAACTTTGAAGCTTGACATTTTATACCTAAGTGACAAGCAGAAATCTGTTCTGTCTAGGTTCTTTTATGGCCCTGCACTTTAATGATGCTTATTAACTGCTTCAGTTAATGTATTTCACTTCCAGATAATTAAAAAACCCACCCCAACCAGATTAGAAAAAAACCAAACCAAACCAAACCAAACAAAAAAAAACAAACAAAAAAACAACAACCAACACAGAGAAAGGCTCCCCCCAAATTATTCCCCACAGCTATACTGTTTATACAGTCACACTAGTTGGATGTGTTTTGGATTCCCATTCTGTCCCCCACTGCAAGTATGGATGCTACAGTCTCACTTCTCCTCAGATGTAAGCCTCTGTCATTTTTAGCCCTTGCTCTGTCTCTTCTTACAAGCAGACTAATACCACCCTGAGCTCTAGCTAAGACTATGCATGCTTCTTTTTAAAGGGATTATGTTGCTTTGCCTTTTCAGTGTTATGAGCAGCAAGCAGTGCAGCTTTATTGACTCCCCTGTACTTGTAATGCCAATACAAGTAGCAGCATACTACAGTCTCTTATCCTGTTAATATCACTTGAATTCTTTCATAGATTTGCTTGATTTGAAACCAGCCCCAAACAATGGAACTCATGGATGCCTAAACCACCTTTTGAGGAACCCTGTTTACATACCCCACCATCCCAAAGAAGCAAGCCATCCTTTTGAATGCTCTGTGGTGGGTCAAAGAGCCTTTTCAGTGAGCCTTGGCTGCTCCTGCAGGACAGGGGTAAGTACTGAAATGGTTAAAGATGTGGAGGCAGACATCAGTGTTGTATTCAAGGAGTGAAACTCCGTATTCTCCAGTGTTTATCTGCTAGTTTTGCAGTCCTCTACTATTGGTTTCAAAATCAAACCTTGCCTGGGCTTAATGGGTACTAGCCTGTATATGTACATTCATTTTTGCCATTTCCTTATGTAAAGTTAGTCTTGGCTCTAAGAGCCTGACCCATGCCATAGAAGCAAGCTTTGAGGGGGAAAGCATTCAGTTCTTGCTTGCTTCACTTAATTATGTTAAAATTTCCTTTCTGTGAATGTTGTCTTTGGGCTGTGGTTTTCAAGGCTGTGAATTTGGTTGTGGCAAAAACAACTTGTTTCTGCAAATTCTCCATTGCCACTGACCAGTATACGTCAGTGATTTCTGTATAGATATAACTTGCAAGGCAGATGTTACATTCAGTACTTTAAGTGTAGTAGTGGCTCATAATATGCTTTGTAGAACACTTAGTAGAATCTCACTGGTTTTGCTTTGAATTATAGGGCTTGCCAATAAGAGATTTTAATCAGCGTTTAGATCTCACTGAAACAGAAGGTAAGAACTGTAGACAGTAATATAAAACCATAACAAAAATGTAAGAATTATTAGGAATATAAATGTTTGATATCTAAACTTCTGAGCAACTCTCAAGTACACGAGGTAAAAATTGTTTTAAATATTTGCTGGGACTATATTCTGAGGTTTTCAAACACAGTCCTACTGAACCATTTGTTCTCAAATAAGTGTGTGTTCTTATAAGTGTGTCTTTATTGGCACATGTATTATCTAATATTTTGGAATTTTCTAACACTGAAGTGGGGAGCATTCCAGAATAGCAAGGAAAAGCTGTGTGTGGGGAAGTAGCTGATAAGGAATCCTTGTAAATACTGACATCGTGATGGCAGAATATTTTCAATGACGCATAAGGGGTATTTTACATGGTTGAGTTATTACATGGTCTTAAGCTGTTACTTGTTTTACTTATGCTTTATTTCCATTCTTTGGACATACACATGCCATGTTTGAGCTGCAGTTTGCAAGGCTGTAGCTGTGTTTATGGCTTGTAAACCAATATAGTTTATTTTGAGCATGAGGTAGGTAAGACAATAAGTAAATCATGAAAACCATAAGTCATAATGGAATGTAGTCCTTAGTGCAAATACATTAAAAGATGAAATCAAGATGATTAGGCTGTCAGAAAGAGAAATGGAGCGATGGAGACCTTGCCTTGTGTGTGCATAAGAAACAAGGTTTCATGAAAGCAAACTCTATTTGGTGACACCCTACTGTAGCTTGCTATTAAGAACTGAACTTAAATGCCAGTTACAGGCAGGATCCAATACTTGCTGCTTGTTCAGGGCTAATTTAAGGCTTCTGTTTGTGTAGTTTGTCTAGGCACACAGAGCAGATAAATCTTTCCTGAATCCTTTCCACTAACAACAGGGCATCTTTTTAAAACGTGTCCTAGAACACTTTTAAAATAACTCTTTCAGTGTTCTAACACTCATGAGAGCAACAAAATGAAATCCAGTTAGCATGATACAGTGTGATTTCCCCAAGCATGGAAGTGGTTTCAGTGGAACAGACCCTGATAATGTGTAGGTGGACACCTGGGTGCCTTGCTGAACCTGGCTTTGAAGTAATATGGCAAGGGCAAGTGAATAACCTATTTCAGTTCCATACTGTAGAAACAGGAACCTAAGGCTCTAAACATATATTTTTGAAACCAGTGGAATTTTGACTTTGATTATTACTAAGACCTGGCTTAGCAGTGGTCTTAATAGCAGTAATTTCCTTATAAATGGTATTAAGCACTTACTAGATACAAAAAACATTACCACAGATGAAAAGACTCTAGTAACCAGCCTAAATGCTCCTTAAGATTATTTAGTTTATTAGTTACTTCAGTTTGCGTGTTCTCTCATTGATTGTCATAATTTGACAGCCTGTAAGAACAATAAAATGTTATCTGCGTTTTTATTTTTATGAAAATAAAAAAGTGAATTGTTTGCCTTTTCCTCCTGGGTGGAAAAATAAGTGTCATAATATTGATTTTTTTGTGTGTGTTGTGGAATTACTGTGGGGAACAAACTTCAGCATTTGTTGCTCAATTTTCCCCATTTAAAATGGTTGCCTTGATACAGTAGTTTTCCATAATTTGTGGACAGTAGTGACCTATTTAATGGAAAATACACTTTGACACCTTCTTTACTATTCCAGTCATGTAACAATTGAAAATACTTGCATTTTCAATAGAAAACTAATATTTTTGTTATTTTAAAATATTTCTGTGATGTGCTAGTTTTATTTGGGTTTTTATATTATAACAAAGTACTCAAAACTTGAAATTTTTTTGGTTTGTTTGTTTCCAGTTGACAAAGATTTAAATAGTCAATGTTTTGGTGAACTTGAAGTCTACCTTAAGAGTTAAAACCTGAAACTTTCTGTTGACATTTAACTCCAGCAGATGGTTGCAAGAACCTGTGTTTCTTATGCCTGTTTTGTTAATTCTTCTTTTTTTCTTTAAGATAAATTATAATGACAATGAAGTCATTCTGTTGCTAACTCTGCTTTACTTTTCAGCTTCTCTCTAATGCATTGCCCTCTGCTGATCCCACATATCTTCTTTCTGATACAGTTTTAAATCATTTCTTCACTCTTCCATTGGATGCTGTACTTGGCCAATAAACAGGCAGTGCCTTAAGCAAAGGTCTGCCAAAAAGCCTGTGCAGTATCATATGCAAACCATTTGAAGATATGTTTTTCTGTTTACAAACTTTCTAAAGAAATGTGGTCCCTGAGAGAGCAAGAAGGAAGGTCTTGTGACTCTCACAGTCATTATAAAGCAACTCCTCGCACATCTGAAAACCCAACTGGTACTTCACTGTATCACTTCAGATCTTTATATTAGTCCTTTAAGTATCACTTTTATGTATGACTTTCTGGTTTCTACTAAAATAGTCCCCTCAGAAGATTTCAAATCACTCCAGTTGGTTGCTGTCCCATCTTAATGTTATGCAGAGCAGATCTCACATTATGTATTTAAATTGAAACACAAAGCCAGCAAAGACTTTAACTTTGTAACTTACATACATCTCCTGTTTTAAATGGCAAAGTGGTTTTTGTTTTAAATGTAACTTATATAAGTTTAAATGATTGCTTTATGCTGTCCTTGTCAATTAATTTATTGCCTTAGCACAGAAGCAATACCTTTGATATAAGAATGAAAGCTTTTTTGTCCAGTTACTGTGACTTCTCTGTTTGGCTGGCAGTTTGAAACTGAGGGAGCCTTAGGTATATGAAAGAGGAGGATGCTTAACAACCAGTATTTACTGAAACGTAACAAGCACTATTTCTGCTCCAGTTAAGAAGATAGAAGAACTTACTTTGCCTTATGGACGTCCCAGGGTTCTGCAGAAGAGACATAATTACTGCCTTCTTTACCATTACCACTATGTGAGTGGATACAGCAAGGACTACAGGATGTCTCTGTGGAGTGCATACACTGTTAACAAAGATGTAAGTATATGAAGAGAGGTTAGAAGCAACCTTGAAAGACAAAAAGCTTGAATGTCTGTTATTCCTGAATGCTTCTTAGATCTGTTCATGATATCTCCCAGGGAACTAATCACAGAATGGTAGGTGTTGGAAGGGACTTCTGGAGATCATCTAGCCCAACCCACCTGCTAAAGCAGGTTTGCCTAGAAGCAATTTGCACAAGATTGTGTCCAGGTGGGTTTTGAAAGTTTCTGGAGAAGCAGACTTTACAACCTCTCTGGGCAGCCTATTCCGGTGCTCTATCACCCTCACAGTAAAGAAGTTCCTTATGTTTAGATGGAATTTCCTGTGTTTTAGTTTGTGCCCATCGCCCCTTGTCCTATTACTGTTCACAACTGGAAAGACTCTGGCCCCATCCTCTTGAGACCTCCCCTTTAGGTGTTTATAAACATTGATAAGATTGCTTCTCATTCCTTGCTTCTCCAGGCTAAACAGCCTCAGGTCTCTCAGCATTTCCTCATAAGAGAGGTGTTCCAGTCCCTTAACCATCTTTCCAGCCCTCTGTTGGACTCTCTTCCGTAGTTTCCTGTCTCTCTTGAACTAAGGAGCCCAGAACTGGACACAGTACTCCAGCTGTGGCCTCACCAGGGCAGAGCAGAGAGGTAGGAGAACCTCCCTCAACCTGCTGGTCACACTCTTCTTAATACATCCCAGGACAACATCGGCGTTCTTTGCCACAAAAGCACACTGCTGGCTCATGGTTAATTCATTGTCTACCAGCCCTCCCAGGTCCTTCTCTGTGAAGCTGCTTTCCAGCAGGCCAACCCCTAACCTGTACTGATGCATGGGGTTATTTCTGCCCAGATGCAGGACTCTACACTTGCCTTTGTTGAATTTCATTAGGTTCCTCTCCAGCCAACCTCCAGCCTGTGCAAGTCTCACTGAACGGCAGCACAGCCTTCTGCTGTGTCAGCCACTCCTTCCAGTTCTATATCATCAGCAAACTTACTGAGGGTGCACTCTGTCCCTTCGTCCAGGTCTTGGATTAATATGGTGAACAAAACTGTACCCAGTACTGGCCCCTGGGGAACTCTGCTGGCTACAGGCCTCCAATTGGACTCTGTGCTGCTGATCACAACCCTCCGAGCTCTGTCATTCAGCCAGTTCTCAATTCACCTCACTGTACACTCTATCTCACACTTCCTGAGCTTACCTATGAGGATGTTATGGGCAAGTGTCAAAAGCCTTGCTGAAGTCAAGTTAGACAACATCAGCTGCTCTCCCTTCACCTACCCAGCTAGTCACACCATCATAGAAGGCTATCAGGTTGGTCAAGCATAAGTTCCCATTGGTGAATTCATGCTGACTACTCCTGCTAACCTTCTTTTCCTTCATGTGCTTAGAGGTAACGCCCAGGAACTTAGGGAACTTAACTGTTCCTTCATCTTTCTAGGGACAGAGGTGAGGCTGACTGACCTGTAATTTCCTGGGCCCTTTTTGAACAGTGATATTGGCTTTCCTCTAGTCCTCAGGTTCTAAGCTGAACCGTATGAGATAAAACTAAGAATTTGGTATAAGCTTTTCTTCACTTTCCTATATTAATAAGGATTGGCTTTGACTCTTTCCTGTTTATAAGAGTGAGCTGCAGTTTTTCCTCCAGAGTGAGCAGATCCACCAGGAAGTAAGGGGCTCATTGCCATTGGTAAAGAAGCCCTATAAGTCTTCACTGGCTTACTGCTTGGTAGCATAGGTCTCCTATAGCAGCCTGCCAGTCCTATCCCCACAGTCTGATCTCAACATGGGTTTCATGGTCTTAAAGCAGTGTTTGTAATGTGGCAGGATCCTTTTGAAAAAATAATGCCTGGACTATCTTGAATCATACATGCCCTGATCCAATCCTTCTCGTGGAAGATCATCCTGATTGGGGAGAAAAAAAGAGGTCAGTGGAGATAAATCTGGTCTTTGTTGTCCTGAACCCTATGCCAAGATGCATGTCTTAGTGCAGAGCACTGATCTTGTGAATGAAAGTTGGTTTTGGGGGCTTTTTGAATTTTTTGAAGCTGGAATTCTTTGAATTCTTTGAATTCTTTTCCATTCAGAGAAAATTTAGAAGACACATCATGCTTGAAAGGAATTAGGACAGTAGAGGATGCTTTTTCAGTTTGATAATCTGGGAATTGTAGGTTTTAAATAATGACTTATGATTACATGTAACTACAGTCTAACAAGGTTTGCTTGATCCTAAATATTTTGAGTTTAGTAACATGAAGCAACCGGTTACTGTAAAAAGTGACCCAGGTGAGAGAGATGGCTAACAATACATCTGGCTTCCTCTGATTCATAGCTTGAATGAACAAGTACATTTACAGTACACCAGTTTATCTTTAATGGAAACTTCTATGTTCTCTTTTTGAAGATATTGTTCTCAAGTAAAATAATAAAGTTATGTTCATTTTATTTCTCAATTATATTAAAAGCTTGGGAGGGCTTGTTTTCCACCAACAAAAGATGAACAACTCTGGCATCATAAGTCTTTTCACACCACAGAGGGAAGCTGCAGCTAAATTCTGTAGTCCTCCACACTGAGAAAATTAAGTCAGCTATCTGTTTTACCAGTGATACTTTCTTGCTCATTAGGACAAATGGATTTCTGCTACAGAAGATACCTCCAGCTGTTTACACAAGGATGCTCGTGTTTCTTCCAATCATAACCAGTCGTGTTTGTTTTACAACAACCACCCTCGCCTTACTTACGGATTCCTTTCCCCTCCAAGTACGTTGCCTTCATTGTACAGCATATCTGATTTAAATAATCTGTAGCGTAGCAGGTATAGTCTTTTATAGATGTTCTTGATAACTAATCGGAGGATGAAGCAGTGCTGAATTGTTGTAGTTCACTTCAGGGTATGAGAAAGTAAAACGTTTGGGGTACTTCAGCAGCTGATGGATGTCCAAGGTCATTTAGTACTTCCTGAAGCTTTGGAACTTGTCAAGTTTCTGAAGTGGCGTCTCATAAAAGAAGCTGGAAGGAATGTGTAAACCTTGAGTCCAGTCTGATAAGCTAGTAAATTGCAAATTCAGTTTGTATGACAGGTGTTACTTGGATCTATCCAAAGTGTCATTCAGAGATCTTTCATTAACTAAAAAAACTTTCCTGATAAAATTATTTTCTATTTGAAATATACTATTGTGTGCCACATGGGGTCTTCAGTAAAGCAATTCAGCATGGGTCTGAAGAATGTAGCTCTGACTCAAATGTATTACAAAATACTTAGCTGTTTACAAGTGGCTAAATTGTTTCCCAGCTGTTGCTGTTGGAAGGATTTTACATTGGCTTTACTGCATAAAGTACTGAGTAGTAGTTTGTTTAAACATCCACATCAAGTGTAATTTGCAAAGCTCTTGTTTTTATGCCTAGATTCTCCAGTAACAACAAGTTGGTCTGATATGCATGAAATGAGTTTTATTCTGTCCCCCACAGTTAAAAAGTCTGTTCCAATATTTTTAAATTCCATTAAAATTTGACCACTGTATATCTGACAAGTGAAATTACTGCTGCTGCGTAAAGGATTATTTATTCTGGATTGGATCCAGCACGTACTGAAGTTAGCACTTAACTCCACTTTCCAAAGCTGATATGGGCCTAAGTCAGGTCCACCTTAATGTTATTACACCAATCTTTAGAATTTGTGAAGATGCAAGTTTAAAGTGACAAAACCAAGTAATGAATTGCTTGTTTTACTTTAGATTTTATGACAGATGAAAAGAAGCCTCACTATGACGCCTTGCTTACCAGCAATATTGTGCCAATGTATCCTGCATTTAAAGGTATTTTGTTTGTATGCATATTCTGTGTGTGCAGCTGAATATGAGAAAGACTGCCCATTTTTTGCTTGCTTCCAAACCATGCAAATGTTGCCTGGTTCAGCTTCATCACTAAAATAAGACCTTCCCCAACTCTGCACTTCTTACCTCAGTGAGAAATTCCTTGAAGTAGGATTCTCACTCTTGTGGAAAAGGCCCATCGTTGTAAGGATTCCTAATCAACTGACTCAGTATATGGGAGTACGGTATAAGTGTCTCCACTTAATGTGTGACATTTTTGTTTGAGTTTTCCTACCTACCTAAACAGGGGTTTATACTGAGTATCTTCTAGCGAGACCTATAGATAATCTAGAAACCTATAGAATCTAGATACTATATATAATTATGTGAGTTAAATTAATTTCCCATTTAGGAATGTCTTCTAAACTCAGATGAGTTTCCAGACAGGAATCTAAGGTCTTAGTCACTAAGGAAGCAGGAAAATAATGTTGTCTTTAGTATAAAAGATGAAGACCTGGGCTTTTCTGGATGAGAGGGAAAATGAGATGGTTGGCTGAGGGATATGAAGCATATTCCTGGTGAAAAAGAATGGCAACTATGGCACTTCCTCTGGACAAAATAGTTTTCTTGGTTTTTAATTAAATAGTGATTAAGTATTAACTTTAATTAAAAATATCATATTAGTAAGATAATTCCCAGCTCATAGGTGTGGGTATACAACCTAGCCAGGCCAACTTGACAGGTGGAGCAAGACACAGGCAGGCAGGATCTTCTCGCACCTCCCCTTCTCTAGCCTGTCCATGATTTGGTTTCCAAGGAAACAAACCCAAGGCCACAGGAGAACACCATCACTGTCCCGGGTTTGTGGTTAGGGTGACTGTGAAACCACCATGCCAGGAGATCCTGCAGTGCATGCTGCTGGTAGTTAGATGCAACCTTTAAAAACTGTAACCTTAACTGTACTGTAAACACCTGTATAATTTATTCTTTTCCAAGCTGATCAAGTCTGTTTATACTCCACTGAAAACTGCAGAGTTGTATTAGCAGCTTCTTCCTTGGGGATGATGTTTCCCACTTCATTACTGTGTTTCAGTGTTATGGAACTACTTCCATCGATACCTGCTGCCTGAATATGCCGCAGCCAGGGGTGGTGTCAATGTAGTCAGTGGTCCAGTGTTTGATTATGACTCTGATGGGCTCTACGATACCCCAGAAAAGGTGAAAAGGTGGGGACCTTTCATGTTCTACTCCTTTGTTTCTTTCCTCCATTAGTGTTCAAAAAGTAATTACAATCCTTGCTATGAAGGAAAGTGTCTTGCAGAGATGGGCACTTGGCAGGTTGTATTGGTTGAGAGAGACAGTCAAACGGCCCTAAGCAGATACAGAACTGTAAAGCTAAGAAACAAGCACAAAGAGAAAATGCACTCTCAAAATGTATCATCCTAAAACCTGAAAGTGAAGTGTAAGAGAAGCTGTTGCATGTGGAAATATATCTGCTAGCCTGAAATCTTATGACATTGCCTCTAGAAGTGGACAAGGCAAGGGCTTATCCCTGGTGCCATGGTTGATGCTTTCTGAGCTAGCAGTGTTCCACTACAAAGTTGTGAGTACAAATACACTAGGTAGCAAAATTGTTTTGAGCCAGCAGCCAGACAGTTTTCTGGGCTCAGGCTCAACTCTCCATCTACTCTGGATTCTTACCCATTATGATCAATCAGCTTGATGTTAGACTTCATCAAACTTGTTACTTAGATCAGCCTACAAGCCAAGTTTGATTTACAAAATAGTAATATGGAATTTTCCTTCCAGGCCTAATCTTTCTTTGGGCTAAATAGGTAGATTGCTAAAACTGATATGCCAGAATATAGCTGATAGTTGTCATTTGTTCTTTGTGCAAGTATGATTTGGTGGATTTACGGGAAGGTGTTTTGTGTTTCAGACATCCCAGTAATTCAGAAGTTCTAGTTCCAACTCACTACTTCATTGTGCTGACTAGTTGTAAAAATACTTCTGAAACTCCTCTGGAGTGTGAAGGGTCTCTAGATGCCTTGTCTTTCATCATACCTCACAGAGAAGACAACAGTGAAAGCTGTGCAGTAAGTATTCTGTTCAGTCCCCATAAACATCTGAAGTCAGGCTTGAGCTTGTTTTGCTAGTTGAAGACTGTAAAGATTGTAAAAATGGTACAATCTCTCATGAACACCTTGAGAGAAAATACAGTATTTTTGTAGACAGAATAATGTTAAAGTCTGTATATATGCTCAAATGTGAAAATAGAAGTTAGCTGTTCAGAGAGCAAAGCTTATAGCTAGTGGGGTAGTCAGAGTATGTTGAGACCATGAGTGTGATAAATACACAGACTTCTGTAGCACAAATATCCAGCCAACAGCTCAGAAGAATGAAGAGCTTCTCGGAGAAGACATGTCATCCACAAAGAAAGGTCACTGCTAGCCCAAATGCATATCCAAAAGGAGAAGACACCTCTGTTCCTGAAGAGCTTTGGCTGCTTCTAGTTCAGGTACCTTGGCATTGTGATGGGAATGCACATAGCTACACTCCACATGAACCAGAAAAAAAAGTGTGGAAAGAATGTAGACAGCCTACAGCGAATAATTACACAAGTGTCTGCCCTAATTAGGCAGAGCTCTCAGAAATAGTTTTATCATAGAGATGGTGGATATGTGCTGGACCTCACCTGCCATTCCCTGTTATCCCCAACTTCCACTGCTACAGCAACAAGTTCTGTATATGTGAGGAAGTAACAGTAAGTACTGAATTCGGGCAAGCCTCTAAGTGTTTATAATCCAGTGCTTTCTGTTTGTTAGATATTTGCCAACAGTTTGTGTTTTTTGTCTTTATAAAACATCAGTGTCTTTTGCTAATTGATTAAATCTGTCAGAGAAAAAAGAAAAGATGATTTACAACCCCTTTTTTTTCTCCTCTGTCCCGATAGGATGGCAAATCTGAGTCCATGTGGGTTGAAAAGAGAATGAAGTTTCATACAGCTCGGATCAGAGATATAGAATTACTTACTGGACTCAGTTTCTATCAAGACAGAAAACAGCCAGCAACTGAGATTTTACAGTTAAAAACATATTTACCAGCTTTTGAAGCTGACTGATTTTTTCCTATGGAATGTTGTTGTCCATTTCATAACTGATTTGTAAATAGACTGTTTTTGATTAATGAAGACTTTTTTTTTTTTTTTTAAATAAGATGGAACATTTATTGAGAACTCTTGACCAAAATGCCAGTAGGGAGGAGAGTGGATGCCATATTTGTATCTCAGGGACTCCTGATGGACTATGTATGTAACACAGGATGGCAGCTCCTGTCATTCCCACTTGAATGCGGTAGAACCGTGTCCATTAACAAATGCTAACAGCATTTGATCATCATAGTCTGAGACACGAACAAAAATGTTGTTATCTTTGTTATCTTGCACTGGAGAGGGAGAAGTTTATAAAGGTAGGGTTGTGATCAATATTCTACTTTAAAAATATAGATAATTCTCAAATACAGTTCTGGGAAATAACTACATTCTTGGTGATCATTGAAATACAAACAACAGCACCTCTCACTTCAGTTTTCCTCGAAGCATGACTTACGCTAGAATTACAGAATCATAGAATTGTTTGGGTTGGAAGAGACCTTTAAGATCATCAAGTCCAACCATTAACCCAACATTGGTTTGAGTCTCATAAAATAACGCAGCGTTATGGTGCAAGAAGCCATACTGAGGTTAGTAAGGCTGGTAACTGAAATTTGCCCAGCGCAGAGAAGACACCTGGTGATAAGGTCGGTTAGCTGGGAAGCCTCGGTGTGTTGCTGCCCTCTGGTGTCTCCAACGCCGAAGGAGAATTCCATGCACAATTCGCGTGTTCTGTATGCACCCTCAGAATGAACAGGTATAGGATGCATCAAATCGCCAGCACATCAGAAGAAATCAATTCAGGAATATCTCTGAGCTGCCAGAAATTATCTTACTTCAAATTAAACTTAGATTTTATAAAAAGATTTTGCTTTCTTGAGGCAAAGATATCTTTCTGAATTCGGTGCATGATTTTGTCATCTGTGTCTTTGAACTCCCATTTTTGCCAAGAAAAAGATACTTTTGCACTAAGATTGTTATCTTAGACTGGTAGAATGATTTCTTCTAATGGCACAACTCATGACTACAGTAAATACCCCCAGGCCATCCAGTTGTATTGGCAGCAAATGACCAGATCCTGGCTGCATTTGTAGCTCTTCTTAGTGCTACATCGTCCAAATAGCAGCTCACATAAGTTACCCAGCTTGAACGCAGACACTGCCAGATGCAAATTCTAAAGTAGCATATAATGAGCTTTCTCGGAAGCTTTCAGGCTACACAAACAGCTGCTACAGGCACTCAGGAGTGTGGGAACTCCCTCCTTTTCCAGTACATGTGCTATCGCCTTTGTAATTCTCCTGCTCTTTCTAAAGCTGATGAGCCAAAATTGGTTCTATTATAAAGTTTGGCATAGTCATTTACACATTTATGTTCTTCTCGTTTAAAAAGAAGGAAATGCACCACGCACAAGTAAGCTGGAAGAACGAAGAGCCTGTGACTGAGCAGAGAGGCATTTTACCTTACAGCTTGGTCAGTGGATGTTGGAAGCTGGATTCAAAGTCTGCTGAAGTCAGTGGAAGCTTTTCCATTAACTTAATTTGAGCAGGCTAAAATCCTGGGACCATTTTTTCTTTTAACCAAATGTATTTTCTTGATCTTCTGTTGCAAGCATGATTTTTTTCTTCATAAAGTAGGTTCACTGTGTGAAATTGAAATGTGTTGTAGCAACCTCACATTATGATATGACTGTGACAGCATTATTCAGTGTAATTGCTCTGTAACACTGCCTGTGACAAATAAAAACATCAGAAGTACTATGCTGTTCATGACCCTTTCTGTACCAAATGCTACTGGCTAGTTAAACACTGGTTAAACACTGATATAAAACACTGTTTCACAATATATGTTTTTGGGGGTGGGAAAAGGGTTGCTTCAACCTCTACTCTTTGAGTTGAAGAGAACTTCTCCTCCAACTGAAATGTTTAAGTTACATTCATTATTTGAAGGGGAAGGTAGGAAGAAAGATGGTCAAGATGTTCTTAATTTATTTTTTTTAATAGTGCTTTCTCCTGAATGCAAATGAGAGAGATGTTAAGTCTGCAGAAAGAAGTGATGCCAGTTTCAATTATGAGGTAGGAATAGCTTAGCTCCTGGGTAAATGTGGAACAGGATAGACTTCAAGCAGATGACTGCTGGTTTGACATAGGAAGGATTCTGGAAGGGAGAGCAGCTGTGAAGGCTATTATGGTCATCAAAAGAGAGAAGTGGCTGAGAGGGGTTTGGGGTTAGGCTTTGCCAGAAATTGAAAAGTTAACTTGACAAGGAAAAGAGCTGTCCTGATTCAATCTAAGTGTAAATAGTTTTGCTGCTTTATTTCTTCATCTATTTTTTAGGAACATTTTTAATGGTGGTGAACAAATGCTGGTGCTAATCACAGGGCCCAGTGGCTGGTGACACCCAAAGACAGCAGATACTGGGTTGTGATTTTGAAACCCAGTGGACCCCAAGGAGCATGCTACAGCCACCATCAAACTCATAAGCCTACAAGAAAGCCACAGCTTTGTCTATCACAATGTAAAATATTTTCTGTTCCAGCTGATGTATACTGTCAGAGCTCCACTGAGCGTTGTCGGTGGAGCATCCTTCACTTTCCAGGTGAAGCTGGAAGTTGTCATAGCAACACTTGTGATATGACTGTCAGCATTATTCAGTGTAACTGCTTCTTAACATCAGCTGCCGTGTAGTCTGGCCTTCTTGCAGGTGGAAATGACAGTGGAGGGGCAGACTGAAGATCTTCAGTTTGGATGTGCCTAGCAGTGTCTTGTGTCAAGAAGCATGCTCGGGGAAGGCACCAGGAGATGCTGAGGGCTGCAGTCAGTGCCCAGCAATACAGGGAAGGTGCTAACCAGTCTCCGTCTCCTAAGCAATGATGTTTGCTTCGAGTAAGGAAATGACAGCTGAGGAAGGTGGTGGTAGGAGCCTTCACAGACACTAAAGGTTGTTCCAGTGAGGACAGAGCTATTCTAGTCCTTGTGACTGTTATATTCAGAAAGAAAGTGGAAAAAAAAGGCCTGAAGTAGCAGCAGAGGACAACTGTGTTTAGGCATGGGATGTCTAAATGTGGGATGAGTTAAGCAGTGGGATGGACTGGTTACTCAAGGATGAAGTGGGTTATGAAATGATTTTAGGCAGGCAAGCCTTAACATACCTGAGAAGCTGATGGCTCTGGGATGGTGAGGTAGGAATGAGCAGTGGATTTGTTTTGCTCCTGAAAAAATTGCATGTAGAGTTGTGCCTTCAGAGATATTCAGGTGTTATGGATTTATATTGCTGGCTGCTCCCATCAGTAATTATGAGGTAATTTAGTAATGTGTTACAGGTTTCCTGCTCTTATTTACCTCAGGATCCACCTCATTTTAAGAAAATGAAGCGATGTCTAACTGCCTGTATTTGCGATGAGCCTGTTCTGTCAAATCTGTTCTCGACACATCCAGTATCCACTAAACCACTGTGTCCAGCCCAGTGCACAACAGCCATCTGCCAAGAGCACCTGCCAAAGCTGCCCCGTCTCATCCGGCGAGTGGGTGGCCTGGGCTTCTGCCTTTCCTTAGCCTGAGATTCAAAGTACAAAATTAGCCCTTAAAATACAAGGTTATAAACCAAGCTCAGCAAACTGGGAGGAGCTACCCCTCTGCTGAATGGGAGGGCACCCACTTTTCCAGGAAAATGAAATTCATGGGGACCAGGAAGATTACATGGGGAAAAGGAAGATTAAAAAAAAAAGCCTAAATCTGTAGCTCTGTGGTTAGGGCATGCAGCTGGAGTAAAGACCTCATTTCTGACCTCCCTTCTTTCAAGATCTGCTGCAAAGCTCAAGCATGTTGCTGAGGGGGCACCTGTGCCAGAACAGGTTACCCATCATACCACTCTGGTGGTACCCTGATGGGCAGTGGTGACAGCACCATGAGGGACCTCTGCTCCAGGGTCACAGGGCAGCTGCTGTAGCATTCTGTACCCACAATGGCACCACTAATGAGATCAGGAAACCATCCTGGGGCTCATGGCAAAGGCTACACTCAGCTCTTTTACTGCTGTGCTGTGGTGAACTGTTTTTACCCTTCTGAGGAGTTCAGGGACAGGGTTAGTATGAGCCCAGCAACTTGCTAAAGAAGTTTCCCAATATTTTTGTTTGGGTACCACCATTGCCAGTGGCAGCAGCAGCAACATCCCTGCTTACCCTCGTACACCCTGCAGCAGTGTCTGGGAGGTGTTGGAGCACCACACTGAGGTCCCTTGTGCACCATGAGCGGTATGTCTACCATAGTCCAGGAACCTCTATATTACAGGAAACCAGTCCAGGTTTGGCATCCTGTGACTCAGACTCCCTTGGAAAGGAGTCAGGTCCCTCACTGAACCACTGTGAGTCACCACACCAGCCTCGAGCCTCAGGAAAGGCTGCTATGGAGATCATGGACAAACTTGCAATAATTATGGAAGCCTAGCAACAGATTTTAGAGGATGCCATTGCAAATTATCATATTCTGCCTCAGCCACAACATGTGTTAAATCTGTGTTGCCCTTTATTGCAAGTTTAGTTCTTTCTATTTTCAATTTCTCTTCTGAAATACAACATACATGGCAGGATGGAAAAATTTTAATTCACCCCAAAGCTGCTGACCACTCTCCCCCCGATGTTCTCATCAGCGGAAGAACCCGTTGCTCATGTCCATAAGGCACATGTGCATGGCTGAAAGGCAGTGTAGGTGGTATAAGACTGCATTCACAGCACTCTGCCAAAACTACTTCCCTACCAGCCTCCGTCTGGGGCTCAAAAGAGAATTTTCTTACATTTCTTTGTATCTCTGTGTGCTGGAGGCCTTACCTTTGCCATCCTATGTCTGTACTGGACCTTTGAATTTCTGGGTGCCAGAAGATGCACAGCTTGAGGATGATTTGCTTTTAAAATTTGTACCTGCTGGTACGAAATGACCTTAAAATCCCCATCAATACTTATGCCATAAGACGGCACA